AAATTTATAAAACTGGAATTAACATCTAAAATTTATAAAACTGGAATTAACATCTAAAATTTATAAAACTGGAATTAACATCTAAAATTCATAAATCGAAAATTAACATCTAAAATTTATAAATCTAAAATTAACATCTAAAATATTTATAAATCTAAAATATTTATAAATCTAAAATTAACATCTAAAATTTATCAATCTAAAATTAACATCTAAAATTAACATCTAAAATTTATAAATCTAAAATTAACATCTAAAATTTATAAATCTAAAATTAACATCTAAAATTTATAAAACTGGAATCAACATCTAAATTTTATAACTCTAAAATTAACATCTAAAATTTATAAATCTAAAATTTATAAATCTAAAATTAACATCTAAAATTTATAAATCTACAATTAACATCTAAAATTTATAAATCTAAAATTAACATCTAAAATTTATAAAACTGGAATTAACATCTAAAATTTATAAATCTAAAATTAACATCTAAAATTTATAAATCTAAAATTAACATCTAAAATTTATAAATCTAAAATTAACATCTAAAATTTAAAAATCTAAAATTAACATCTAAAATTTATAAATCTAAAATTTATAAAACTGAAATTAACATCTAAAATTTATAAATCTAAAATTAACATCTAAAATTTATAAAACTGAAATAAACATCTAAAATTTATAAATCTAAAATTAACATCTAAAATTTATAAATCTAAAATTAACATCTAAAATTTATAAATCTAAAATTAACATCTAAAATGTATAAATCTAAAATTAACATCTAAAATTTATAAATCTAAAATTAACATCTAAAATTTATAAATCTAAAATTAACATCTAAAATTTATAAAACTGGAATTAACATCTAAAATTTATAAAACTAAAATTAACATCTAAAATTTATAAATCTAAAATAAACATCTAAAATTTATGAATCTAAAATTTATTTAGTATAGTTCAATAATTGAGATAAAATTGACATCTAAAATCTACAAAAATAACTGACTTACTATTCATTATGATTATTGTTGTTGAGATTATAAAGATGTAGTTGAGCTCGAGCTAGCGAGGGACTGTAGGTGGAGATAACTCCATGTATACCAGGACTGACACGAGGATCTCGACTACGAGGTGGATGTTGTTTGGAAGATACCTGACTTTTATCACGGACAGCGTTTGCCACCCCAGATGTAAAATCTAAAACACCTGTGACAGGTTTAGTAACTGTTCCAACAATTCCCTTTCCTGCTCCTTTAAAAAATCCCTGGAATTTAAACAGCGGACATAATTAGTCTTTTACAGTCAAATGTTCTTATGGTAGATTTCTTGCTGCTGTTCAATGAGATGGAAAGTGGAACGAGAATCCCAATTTCTGAATAAAAATCCATTGATACAATAATATTTTTACATGTGTAAATTGTGTTGAAACGTTATGTACTTTGTTATTAAAGAAATGAGTTATACCATAATATACCCCTTGTGTTTTTTTTTATAACAATATTTGACATGAGCGTGAGCTACTGGGATTAAGATGACCTCCGGTACAACAAACCACAAGCTTGAGCTGCCAACTCATTTGTAGTAATAAAACAATCAGTTGTATCTACTTTTGTATCTTAAACATAATCAACAGTCTGAGATGAGCGCTTTTCATTTATAATAAGGGGAAAGGAGGGTTTGATTCGCCAAAATGTACAGCCCTTTTGATTGCATAGGATTTTATCCTCAACACAAAATTTTGTTCCAAAGAAAACCAAAATGTCTAGTAGTGAACTACATTACAAGGGAGGGATCTACATTGTCTTTTTTTTATAACACTTACCCCGATTCCTTTTTCCTTAGCCCCAGAATACGGTTGTGTTACAAGACCAGTTAAACCACCTAATATACCATAACCAAGGCCCTTAACTCCTGCCAGTAGGTGAGCTCGACTCTGTCCAGTCTCAATGTGACGTAATTCATCTCGTTGTTTCATGTGATCATCATCCATTGAAACTGAGGCGAACCCGTCGGATAACGCACCTGTCATCTACAATTAAAAATTGACAGATAAACATTAAAATAGGGTTTCATAAATTGAAATGTTGTAAGGCATGTAAAGATGTTCTCTTCACATTGTATATGAAACAATTTTAGCATCCATTTACACATTCTTTACACGGAGTTTCTACTGACAATTATACTGATAAATATTCATGTTATCAGCCTCCCCGATATACATAGTGGTTTATAAAAAATCTTTACAATCTCTTTAATCAAATAAAATATAAACATCTTAGGGTACAAATACTGTCGAGTTGTTAAACAGTAACATTGTAGTCAATTATACTACTAACTGACGCTTCATTGAATTATACTGGGTACACACGAACCATATCCCCACCCCAGAGGAAATAGCAAATACTGTTAATTAACATCACTAACCTCACGACTTAGATTTTATTCCACTCTTTATTATGAAATACTAACTCACTTATGATTGTATGAAAAGTTTATTAGCTGCTACCTGTGTTTGGCTAAAATGTTGTTTTGAATTTTCGGGTTTAGTTTTGTTCTTGTTTTATCTTAGCTGGATGAAAAAAACTTGATATTAACTTACCTTAGCAGCAGTATTAGAAACCCCATGGGTGACGTTTTTAAACAACCCAGTGACGTTACCATCTTTTATCAACCCGGAGATACCTTCCGTCACGTCGTTAACAAACCCCAGGGGATTACCTAAAACATCTATAGATCCTAATATCTTAGTAGCTTGACCCTTTAATTCCTGTTAATAATATAAAATAGTGAACATTAAATTATAAATAGAAGGAACTTGTAGTGATGTAACTTGTAGTGATGTAACTTGTAGTGATGTATCTTGTAGTGATGTAACTTGTAGTGATGTAACTTGTAGTGATGTAACTTGTAGTGATGTATCTTGTAGTGATGTAACTAGTAGTGATGTATCTTGTAGTGATGTAACTTGTAGTGATGTAACTAGTAGTGATGTAACTTGTAGTGATGTAACTAGTAGTGATGTAACTAGTAGTGATGTATCTTGTAGTGATGTATCTTGTAGTGATGTAACTTGTAGTGATGTAACTTGTAGTGATGTAACTTGTAGTGATGTATCTTGTAGTGATGTAACTAGTAGTGATGTATCTTGTAGTGATGTAACTTGTAGTGATGTAACTAGTAGTGATTA